GGAGGGGGTGAGACAGAGGAGGGGGTGACGGAGAGGAGGGGATGAGACAGAGAAGGGGGTGACGGAGAGGAGGGGGTGAGACTGAGGAGGGGGTGACAGAGAGGAAGGGGTGAGACAGAGGAGAGGGTGAGACAGGGGAGGGGGTGAAACGGAAGGGGAGTGAGACAGAGAGGAAGGGGTGTGACGGACAGGAGGGGGTGAGACAGAGGAGGGGGTGAGACCTGGAGAAGCAGGGGTTAGCGGGGTTGGGGGACACAGAGGCGGGACAACCAGGACAGACACTGATAGAACTAGGGTATTGTCCTCAGAGGGCCCAGTTCCGGAGGGGTGGGAAGGGCCCTTCCTCTGCCTCCCCACCCCCACCCCCACCCCATCATTGGCTCCAGCCCCCTGGTGGCTGCTGAGTGTCAGTGGTTGGACATGGAAGACCCTTTGTCAGAAAGCCCGGAGGCTCTTCCCTAGTACAGGACTGGCCTGCTCCCCTCCCTGGCGGCTCCTGAACCTTCCAGAACACACCCGGCCGGAACAGAGACCCTTTGAGGAAGGTTGGGGGAGAGGGGGCGGGAAGGTGGGGAACTTTCCAGACACCAGGGCGGACAGGCTAGCGGCTCCCACAAAGCTGAGCACAGCAACACCGCACTTGTCGTGTGGGCTCGCAATGCCTAGTGTCGAGCCCCCCCTCCCCAGTTCCCACTGACAGCTCGGCCAGGGTTTTAAGGGCGGCTGCCAGCTTGTATCCAGCCCCTTCCAGCTGCTCCACGCCTCAGCCCTCCCCACGCGCATACCCCCCACCCCCCGACCCTCCAAGACGCATGATGAGTATCAGCCCCAACCTCTATGTGGGGCATTGCCTCCCCAGGGGAGCCCAGGCTGGAAGCTGGGGTGTGTGCGGGGTGTTACTGTGCTCGGGACCCATCAGGGCACTGAGACAGGCGGCAGGCCGACCCCACAGCCCCAGGCAGACGTGGAGGGTAGGACGTAGCAGTACAGGACTGAGTCACACTCAGGGAGGGGTACTCAACTGGAACTCGAGTTAAGGCTTATTGGGCTAGTATGTCTCCCAGACAGTCATAGCAAACCGGTATTCACCGCAAAGCCGCTGCCTGTCCAGAACATGGCCAGCTCCCGGCGCCAGATGGCCACGGCGCAGCTCGTCACCAGCGTGCAGGGCACCAGGTAAAGCAGAGCCGGCTGGCCACGCTGCATCAGGGCTAAGGCCACGAAGGTCACCAGGAGGCCGATGCCATAGGCTGTGGAGAGCGGGACATCACCCGGGGTGAGATCGGCGACAGATGGGTGGGGGGAGGATGCGACGAGAGGGGGGCTCGCTTGGAGAAGAGGCCTGCAGGCGTTGGGAGCAGCCGGAGTGTGTGCAGGCAAAAAGAAGGAAGCCATGCACAGTTCTGTGGAATACCGCATCCTTGCTCACTGGGCTGCGCTGACAGGAGCCCCTGTTCTCAGGAAAGACGCAGGGGAGACCGGAGGGGCAAAGGGCTCGCTCTCCAACTTCACCCTCAACCAGATGGTGACCTGTAAGTGTGCCTGACTGTCCCTGACCCTGACTCCTGGTAACCCCATGGATGCGGGAGGCCTCTTAAAAATTCCTGGAAAGACACCATCCATCTTTTCATTGTGTTTTTTCACGGATTTTTTTAAAGCTCCCTCATAGGTCAATAGAACTGATCCATGGAGTTTTCAGTGACTGTTTCAGAAGCAGATCACCAGGCCTTTCTTCCAAGATGCCTCTGCATGGGCTTGAACTCCCAACCGTGTGGCTACTGGTGGAGCACTTTACTGTGCCACATGGGCCTCCCACCTATCACAGAAGACAAGGGGCGTATGGGGGTGGGGAGCACCGAGGAGTCCAGGGCAGGGTTGTGGGTCTGGGAACCCTGTGAGCTTAAAGTGCTGCTGTAGACTTAAGAGTTAACAAAATAAAAACTTACAAGGGGGAAAACAGAAAACCCTTTTGCCGGAAGGGTATCTAGGGAAAGGAGCGCCCCTCCCTATTACTGGGGCCCTTACAATACACGCGGTGTCTGGTCTCCAAATATTGCTACACACATGGTACTCACCCATTTTAACTAGCTAGGGGAGGCCAGAAAGGCCGAGTCTCAGAAACACTGCACAGGGTCACCAGGGGTCAGAAAGACTCAATACGGGTGGGTTTGCATTTCGCATTTTTGGGAACTCCTAAAAAAATACCTCAATGTAAGCAAGACAGAGAAGAATAAAGGGATCCGCTCCCTGAAAAAGACCTCCATGATAAAACTCACAGGACGGATCCGGAACGTTCTGTCTCCACTGGGAACGGGTGCTCTGGGCCTTACCAGCCACAGCTCACAGGAAAGATGAGCCAGCACTGGGGTGTGGGGCTGTTTTCTCAGGGCCCTGGTGACACAACGCTTAAGGCTGCCAACCTGAAGGTCGGCGGTTCAGACCCAGCAGCAGCTCAGGGGGGAAAGGCCTGCCGATCTGGTCCTGTAAAGCTGACAGCCTGGGAAAGCCTATGGAACGTTTCTAGTATCACACGGGTGGAGACGAGTCGGAGCGGCCTTGGCGGTACACGACACCAACCATGTTTCTAAGGGAGACAGCGCTGACAAAGGCCAGGAGAAACAAGCAGGCCCATGCTCGCACCCTGAGGACCATATGAGGGCCTGCAGTGACCACAAACACCCTGAATGTCGGCCTGGCCCGTCCTCCTGACGCCCCACCACTGGGGTTGGCGAGGCAGGTCTGTAACCTCTGCACCCATCTCACTGGGGAGCAGGAAGGCTGGGGTGTGGGCTCCTGACAGCCTGGTCCTTCTGCAGAGGACACATGTGTGCACGTGTGGGTGTGTGCGCATGTGATGCGTGTACACGTATGCAGACATGTGTGAGGTGTGGACACACATGAGACAGAGCTGGCCAGGCTGGCATCTGACCAAACTGGTTTGAAGGGTTGAAAACAACACATCTTCACAGAAGTGGTCCTTTGTGGACAAACCCAAGCGGGGAGGAGCAGAATAAAGGAGCCCTAAAAGGCAGTTGGGGAGGCAGGAAAAGGATGGCGGTAAGGAAGGGCCGTGGGACGAGCCGGCTCCCCGACTCCGGCTGCAGGGGAGTACGTACCGACGGTGCAGGCCACGAAATAGACGCGGGAAGACTGGACCTGGATGTCGAACCTGTGGCAGTAGGCTACCAGCAGCCCTGTGGGGAGACGGTGCGAGCTGAACGGTGTCTGCGGAGGGGACACCTGCTGCCCTGAGTCCAGGGCCTGGGGACACAGGGGAAGGTTGGGACCGACCACCAAGTGCCAGCTACCTCTCAGGGGACCACTAGCACCAGGGCTGACCAGGCCATTCATAGTGCATGGAGGCATGGACGGTGGGGCAATGGGCCCCCTGCAGCTGCCCCCAGCCTGTCCCCCCAACTCAGCTCTGTAATCTCATTGGTGCACGCACCCTACTCGGAGTCCATCCAGGAAGAGAGGCCCCTGGTGGGCATCAAGGGCATCACGGGCATCACCTCATACCTGGCACCAAGATGTCCCCGAAGCCCAGGAGGGAGAAGGGCCGGTCACACAGGGCCAGTGGGGACGTGTTCAGTCTGGGCACCTTCAGGACCATGGGCAGCTGCGGGGACAGGGATGTCTTAAGAGCCCAGGACCACCCTGGATGCAGACCCCATCCCCGCTCTGGCCCAGGCTGACACCCACCTTCTCGTGGGTGGCCGAGTCTGCAGGACCTGTAGCTACCTCCACCATGATGCTATTCCCACTCTAGAGACAAGGACCTGTTTCAGGGGGGGCGGGTTCCACGGGGGGGTGGGGCAGAAGAGGCTGGGGGCCCTACCTTGGTCAGGAAGGGTGTGATGAAGACGAAAAAGACGTCATAGATGAACAACACCAAAAGCAGTAGTGTGCAGGCCTGGGGGCCAGAGACGCGTGTCAGGGGGTACCCGGGGCCCCCACTGCCTCTTCCCTCTCCTTAACAGACTTCACAGGTCTGGATGAAACTTTATAAGCCAGAGCCAAAGCTCATGGCAGAAACTTCCGGCACACAGGCTGGTTCTGAGGGATGCAGGGGGCGTGCAGTGAGCAGGGAGGAGCCCCTGGCCTGTGGACGTGGGGTCATGGGATGAAGGGTTGCCGTCTGTGGTTTGGGAGGTTTCTGAGATGAGCGGGACACGCCCACTCACGGCTCCAGGGCTGCGTACGTCTCTGCGCCTGCGTACCCACCCCTTCCCCTCAGTCTAGGCAGGGGACCCTAGGCATCTAGCCTGCAGGCCGACCCTGGCTGAGCACGTGTCACCCACACTGAGATCACGTGATGGTCACCCGACACCAGCTCCAAGCTGGCCAGTCCTGCGCCCACCCAGCTGGCAAATCCACCCTGCTCCGCCGCACCGCCTCAGAGCCTCACCTTGAACGTGGGCAGGCGGATGGTTTTCAGCATGTAGAGACAGAAGGTGATGCCCAGGGCGTCCTGCAGGACCCAGGCCCACCTGGGGGACAGAAGCCCGTCAGCGCTGGGCACAGGCTCAAACCCACACTTGTCCTGTGTGACCCGGGCCATGACCCTACTTCTTGGGGCCTCAGCCCTTGACCAGGTGCCATGGGAGCATGTGTCCGTGACGCTGTGATGTTATGGGGGGTGGACATGCCCATGACTGGGACCACTCTCCCCCTGCAGGGCAGTGGTTTTCACCCTAAGACTCAGCTTTCCACCTGCTGGGCTGGGCCCCTTGTGAAAATAAACCTGGGGGGAGGGGGCTGCTGGAGCTCACACCCAGACATGACACATGCACTCCACACTTAAAACACACCATACAACATATACTCAACATACTCAGGCACACAGTCAATACACACTCCAAGTACACACACACAGCATACCACAATACACCCCATATACATCCCACACAACATACAACACAGACACCACACACAATCACACACAGAGCACAACACAACATATACTCCACACACAAAACACCCTACAACATACGCACACACAACACATACTCCAAGCACACAGCGCTACACATACATGCCACATACAACACACCCCATATACACAGCACTCACCATGCAACATAAACACCACATACAACACAACAAATACACTCCTCACACAACATAACCACATACAACACAACACACAATACACAGACAGCACAACATACACGCCACACACAAAACACACCTACAACACACACCATGTAGACTCCACACCCCACAACAAATACACCCTATGACTCCACACACACAAAACACACCCCACAATACTCAGCATTCAAGCACACACAATACGCATATCCCAAGCACAGAGAACACAACAAAACACCCACAACACACACTGTAAGCACAATATATACACCATATACACACACAATACACCACCACATGTGCACATAAGCAACACAAAACCACCCAACAACCACAAGGTACCCATGCAATACACTCCAAGCACACGCAGAGCACCAAACACACAATACACACCACCACACAAACGCACTCACACCAAACACAACACACACAGTAGAAGCCACACAGTCTGCTCCCACAGGGGATGAGGGGAGCCGAGTTTGAGGCCCCGGGCCGCAGGTGGCAGAATGCAATGCTGACGTGATAGACATGTCCAGCTCGGCCCCGCCAACACATTCGCACTGCTGAGGCCCAGGCAGGTTTCTGGAGCTGCCAAGCCCACCCCTCCTCCTCCCCCCACCTGTGAAGCCCCGGGGTGGGGGGGGGGGGGCTGTCCCTGCCCTCTGGCTGGAGCCAGAGCCACTGAGAGCCTCCTGCGCTGACTGCGCGCCCCTGGCTGGGGTTCACCCTGAGGAACGAGCTCTTTCTGTGGACAAAGATCTCTAGATAGTGCCCATGTTCCTCTGCCAAGAAACTCACAGCAGTTCCAATGGCCCACAGCCCAGAGAGCCAGCGACCTCAGGGAGGAACCCCATCAGGGGCGCGTCTGCATCCTACAACCAACCGCTCTGAGATGGTGCAGCAGGGCAAGGGCTCCCAGACAGTGGGGAAGGGGGGCGGGCAGACAGCTCTTGGGTGGTGTCCCCCCACGTGGCCCCAGGCGCCCTGTGGGAGGTGGCGGCATCTCACATCTGATTCCAATCACACTCCTGGCACCGGACAGAGAGGAGCGGGGGCCGAGGGGGCCTGGCAGGGGCACATGAGGACAGCTGCCCTAGCCCACGCCCGAGGTTGCACTCACTGGTCCTCGTTGCGGAAGACGCCCCACACCACGCTGACGGCGATGCAGAGCAGCGCCAGCAGCAGCATGCGGACCTGCGGGCGCTTATGGAAGTAGGGCAGGCTGTTGTCGGGGACCCTGCGGGCAGGAGCGGGCATGAGGTTCCCCACCCTGCCTCCCCATCACCCACCAGCTCCCCGTGCAGTCACCCTAATATGGCCTGAACCATTCCCAGGGGCCCCCAATGCCCAGCTCACCGGCATCGGCCAAAGGGCAGCCTCCGGACCAAGGGTGCCAGGCAGCTGTAGAGGCCAGTAGACGAGGCCAGGCAGAAGATGGCGATGACGGCATAGACTGCGGGGGGTAGAGCGGCCGTGAGGGGCGGGCACTCAGCGCCGGTGAGGGTCTGAATGGGCCCTTGTGGTGGTGGTCACTGGGACAAGGCTGCATTACTACCCTGTCACTGAGGCGGAAAGCCTGGGTCCTCTAGGTGGGATGAGGATGTCTGGGTGGGGGCATGGACACTGAGGAGCTTACAGAAACCGGAGAGCAGCCCCTTCCAGAAAGGCGGGGCCCTACTTCAGGTCAGATCAGGGTGCGATCCTGGGTCCGGCTGGTGTTCTAGGTCGGGTGGGGCCCCGGGTCGGGTCCTAGGCTAGCTCAGCGTGGCTGCCGGCCGGCGGGGGTCCGGAGTGCGCACCGAGGTGGTCGTAGAAGCAGTAAAGCAGCACCAACATGGAGCAGCACATGACCACGAAGACGCAGATCATGACAGGCGTCACGTCCACCGCCTCGTCGTCCTGCTTCTCGGGGCCGTCGTCCCGCTTGTGCTTCATGCTCCTTCTGGAACAGGTGGGGCTCTCAGCTACCTCTCCCCGCAGCCCTGGGACGTTCAGACATACATGCGTACCACGGCACCAGAGAGCAGTGCCTCACTCCAGAGGCGGGTCCTGGCACAGCCCCGCTCACACAGAACATTCAGACCACATGCCCCCACCCCCGACAAGCACACACAGCTGGCCTGTGGGGGACACTCACTTCCTCACGTCACGGCTCCCAGCCCAGTACCCCCCGATGGCCACAGTGCCCACGGCCATGATGAAGATGATGACCATGTTGTAGTCCAGCACAGGCTCGTTGGGTGCGTACAGCGCAGCCTTCACCGCTCGGCCAAAACGCTGCCTCAGAGAAGATGCCCATGTCAGCACCAGGGTCCCAAGTCTGTCCCCTTGCCCACCACACTCCCACCCCACTCCCGTGACACCCCAATCCCAAAGAAAAGTCCCCACAGGAACATGGGCAGGAGAAAAGAGCCCCCATTTACATAGCCCACATCTGATTCTAGAGGGCTGTGTCTTGTCTACATGGGGGAGCATGGGGTGGGGGAGGCAGCAGGCCCACCTTGAAGATGTCCAGAACGTCCCGGTGACTGAGCAGGGCCACAGGGATACCAATCTCATCGTACTGTGTCTTATTGCCTCCGGGGGGTACCTGGAGGCCAAGACGAGGGAGACCCCAGGGTAGGGTGGGAAGGAGAATCCCTCCATGGGGAGCTCCTCTCTTAGACCCTTAGAGACAGCTCTGGGAGAATGTGGCCGAGCTGACGTCACTCATGAGGCATTTCCCTTAAGAGACCCACCTCACTGTGGACCTCTCCTCCTACCCCAGCCCAGGGCTGTCTCACAGATATGGGCCCCCTCAGACACCTGCTCCCAAAGCACACCAGGGCCACACAGAGTCCGAAGGCCCCCCACCCCCAGCCACACCTACCAGCTTCTCTCGGCTGACGACCAGCAGCCCCCGCGCCCCGCTGCCCTGGGCCAGCCGCACTTTCTCGTAGAAGGTGCAATTGCCCCTCGCCACCAACGGGATCTGGTTGCCAAAGCCCCCGGTGGGGAGGTCAGCGGGTGAGCACAACACCGAGGCTGACCAGTCCTTTAGCTGCAGCAGGGGCTGGGGACAGGGTGGAGGTCATGAGGGCAGGCCATCTGGGCACCACCCGCCGCAGTGAGCAGGCCAAGTAGACCCCACCCACCCATCAATCAACTGTTGCTACCTGGACCCTGAGGGCTGCGCTGGGCCAGGTGAGGGCTGGAGCTGTCTGCCCACCCCAGGAAGCCTGCCTGGTTCTCGGGGGGCCCCCAATGGCCGCCACTCGGACTTGTTGCTGCCTTGTGGGCCATTCCCCCACCCTGAGGACTGGCCCTCCCTGGATGAAACCCCTGGGGGCTCACTGCACAGGATCCTCACCGCCTTGCTGAGGTCGTGCGGCAGGCGAGCCCACTGTGGGTTGTAGAGGATGCAGTAGTCTCGGCCGTGGGGGCCACCCGAGGCAGAAACCACATGAACCATCCCGTACTCACAGACCACCTGCGGGATGGGGCAGCGGGCTCAGGAGGATGTGGGGTGTGGGCAGGAGACGTGTCTGTCTCCATGGTTGCCTTGCTGGCTCTCACGTCTGGGGTAAGTCTGGGCCCCTACCCCGCCTCCCAGGGCCCTCTGGGGTCACAGGGCCGAGACAGCCGGCGGCTCTTACAGGGTGCTGTATGACTAGGAGCTTCCTGAACTTGGCAGAACCTGGGGGGCAGTTGGCTTGGGTCCTGGCGGGTGATGGCAGCTGTCTGGTCATGCCAACAGCCCCACGCTCTGGCACCAGTCAAGTGTCCATGGAGATTCCCCCTTTCCCCATGGCTCCCTGGCACCTAACATCAGGGTCCAGGTGAGTTGGGACAAGGGGCCTGAGGCAGCCCCAGGACAGAAGCCAGGTGGCAGACACCGTTTCAGGCAGGGCAGCATCCCTGGGGGCCCTCTGCCCTGATGACACATGGTCAGGGCCAGCCTCTCTGGTGCCAACGGAGGAGCTTCACCTCATAGGACCTAAGACGGGGTCTGGAGTGACCGAGGCAAGACATCCCTGTTGTGCATCCACCCTCTCTTCAGCCCAGCGGCCAGCCAGGCTCTGGGCCCCTCCCAGGATGTCCATGGGCGGTTGTCCCCCAAATCTGCTTCAACAGGGATGGCCCGCTTCTATCAAACACCAGAGAAGGCAGCGCGTCTCCTTCACGAGGACACAGGGTTTAGGTGTATCCTGAGCTCTGGTGTGGTCACATCTGGACCAGACCCCAAGACGAGGTGACAACCTCCTAACATTTCACAACCAGCCAGCACACCCAGGGGGGTCAAGGGAGACTACAGAACTGGCACGTCACGAAAGCAGTGGGCGTCACATGGGAGTGACGGGGCAGCAGCCTTCCTTCAAGAAGTCCAGAAAACTCCTGACCAGGCCTGTCTTCTGTGGTGCCTCTGGGTGGACTCGAACCTTCAACATTAGTGAGCAGCCCAGCAATCGCCCTTTGCCCCACTAGGGGCTGCTCCTGCCAAGAAACCCTGAAGCATTCTGGGAGTTGGTGAAATCCTCAGGGCCCAAGGATGGTAGGGAAAAGGCATTATGGTGGAGGGGTGAAGGGGCAGTCTTCACATCCCACTCAGTAAGTTTCCCTGTAACTGCAGGGACCGCTGGGAGAGGGTCTGTGTATTTGGAACTGTCACCAGACAGTCTCCACCCAGCATGACTCAGACGCACACATTCCCCTGGTGCCACCCAGAACCAGGGTGACATTCATGAGGCGCCTCACCGGGTTCAGGGCGAACTCTTCCAAACACCTCAGCCCATCCAGGACAAAGGGCAAACTATGGGTCCCGGCAGCCCTCAGTGGACTCTGGCTGACAGGCTCCTCTCCGGGAAGCCCTGCCCCCAACTTCTGGGCCCTGTCCCTCCCTCCACCTCCTCTGGGCCCAGGTAAAGGGCCTCCTGTTTCTAGGTGTAAGCGTTCTCCAATCACCAAACCACTGCCGCTCTGCCAATCCCCATTCTTAGCGAGCTCATAGGACAGAGTAGAACCGCTCCACAGAGTTCCTGAACTGCAGATCTTTACAGGAACAGCTGATGGGTTTGAGCCACTGACCCTTGGGTTAGTAGCCCAATGCCTAACCCATTGCGCCACAGGGCTCCTCTCCAAGCGCTAGACCGTCCCAGAGACTGAAATTTGTTGCTGTCATCAAGTACCTTCCGGTCAGTCCTGACCCACTGCACACCTGGACAGGGTTTGAGGCTTTTTCAATCTGTGTAAGCACAGAAAGCCTCACCCCTCTCCTGTGGAGCAGCTAGTGGACTTCAGCCACCAACCATGCAGTTAGCAGTCCGGTGCTTATCCTAGTGTTGTTATGAAGTGATGTCAAATGGGTTCTGACTCAGAGTGACCCTGTATAGGGTTTCCAAGAAGCAACTGGTGGGTTTGAACTGCTGACCTTGTGGTTCAAATGGATCTTATAGTCCAGTGCTTATCCTACCAGCAACACACCAGCATAGAGACAATGCTGTTGTTATTAGGTGCCATTGAGTCGGTACCGACCCATAGCGACCTCATGCACAGCAGAACGAAACACTGCCTGATCCCGGGCCAACCTCCTATCGCTGCCACACTTGAGCCATCGATGCTGCCACTTGGCCAATCCTTCTCACTGGGGTCTTCCTCTTTTTCTCTGACCCTCCACCTTACCAAACATGATCTCCTTCTCCAGCAACTGGTCCCTCCTGACAATATGTCTGAAGTATGAGAGATGAAGTTTGGTCATCCTGGCCTCCAAGGAGCACTCTGGCTACACTTCTTCCAACACAAATCTGTTGGGTCTTTTGGCAGCCCATGGCACTTTCAATATTCTCCTCCAACACCATAACTAATCTTCAAATAATCAGTTCTTGTGCCACCTGGCCTAGCTCAGGCTCCTCCCACTGCCTACAACACCCTTCTTGACCTTGCAAACTCCTATTCAGTCTTCAAAATACTCCTGGGGTAACACTGCTTCTGATGAGCCAGTTCACCAGTCTTACCCCCTCACCCCTCAGCATGCCCACAATCTCTTACTTTCAGAATCTCACTGCAAACCTCCTGAGAGCTCACACTGCTCCACACACTGGTGACGGAGGAAGACAGGGACCTAGGCTCCCATGGTCAGTGCCATGGCGGGGGCAGTGAAGGGGGTGGGAGAGGGGAGCCCTAGAGGACTTGTGGTAGGGAAGGACAGGCAAGTGGAGACCAGAATGGCCAGGACAGGAGGGGAGGAGGGCAAGCAAAGAACAGAATGCCACCAATAAACCTTGATCCGGTCTAGGAGAGCCGAGAAGGAAGGAGGGAGTGGATTTTTCTAAACGCTAGGGGAAGCCACTCGAAGGCACTCATTTGGAAGGGACAAGATCTGACACACTTTGAGGAAAGGTGGCTCCCACTGTATTGAAAGCAGGTACAGGGGTGTCGGGGGCGAGAGTGGTCACAAGGAGAGCTTTGGGAATCCCCAAGGCAAGGGAAGCGTTAGAACTGTCACAGAGGAGGGCTCAAGGTTAAGGAGCAGCAGAGTGGGCGGCCCGACTCCCAGCGCCGCTATGTAACCTGGGAGAGGGGGTCTGGGGGAAAGATGCGCTAATGACCGTGAGCATCCGCCGCTCGCTGCCCGGACCCCGAACTCACCCAACAAATCAATGAACAAACTGAGCCCTTGTCCCATCCCGCACACAACTCTATACTCTCGCCTCTTCTCCTTTGCAAAGGAGTACCTGGCACTGAGAGCGGAGGCTTGGGTGGGCTCCCTAAACCAAGGTCAAGGAGTGAAAAATGGGGTAGAGGGTTCCCCCCGTCCAGGGCTGGGCTCTCGGCGGCCCCTCAACGTGGCCAGGCTTGGGGCCCAGGGCTGGCCCGTCTGAGGCCTTTCCCACTGCCCTACTTGGGTTGGAGGCCAGCAGCATGCCCATTTCGCATAAAGAGAAACTGAGGTTGGGAGCGGCGCAGGACCCCTCCTCCCGCCCGGGCCCAGGCCGCAGAACCGGGGAAGGGGCGTTCTGGGGAAGACCCTGAGACACACATATAGGACGCAGGGAGCACAGGACAGGGTCCACAAACGTCACCCCAGGCCATGACGGAGTGACGCAGCGCTGAGGGCACTGCCGCGGCGGGGAAAGGAGAGGAGCCGGGGAAGGAAGGGCCCGCAAGGTCACTCCGGGCCCCAATCCGGAGAGTGGGGGGGCCTGGGGCTGCCTCCCAGTCGGCCGGGCGGGGTCCCGCGAGGGTCCCCAGGGGCGCGGGGTCCGGAGTGGCCACCGGCGAGATGCCGAACCGGCACAGCCCTCACCTGGGCCGCGACGAGCAGCAAGGCCGCCCCGAGCCGCGCCAGCACCGCAGCAGCAGCCGCCATGTCGGCCGGTCCCCGCCGCAGCCGTCAGCTGATGTTTCCCAGCAACGCCCCGGGGCTGCGCGCCGGGTGACGTCAGACGGCGCGCCCAGAGCGCCTGCGCACAGCGGCTCAGCGCGGCAAGATGGCGGTGAGTGTGGAACCAGGCTTGGGCTGGAGGCGCGGGTTTGGCGGGTTGCGCTCGTAACCTCACGTGCTCTGCTTTCCCCGCAGGACAAAGAGAAGAAGAAGAAGGAGAGCATCTTGGACTTGTCCAAGTACATAGACAAGACGATCCGGGTGAAGTTTCAGGGAGGCCGTGAAGGTGAGGCGGCCGCCGCCAGCCCCATCCTTAAATAATGTAAAACCGGGAACTGCAAAAGCGCAAAGAACTTAAATCTTGCTAAGAGCCATCGAGTCGGTCCCGACTCATAGCGACCCTGTATAGGGTTTTCGAGGGGCGGCTGGTGGATTCGAACCGCCAGCCTTGGGGTTTGAAGTCCAGTGTTTACCCTACAGAGCACGCCAGGTTTCTCTGCGTCGGCACTGCTTTAAGCGCTGCGCGAGCCGCTGGACGGCACTGGGAGGTTCGCGTGCCCATTTTCCAGATGGGAAAACCGAGGCACGGAGCGGGGAACAGACGTGATTCTAAGTCACAGCCTGCGCCCTGCCACTGTAGGGTGTTGAGCAGCATCGCTGACCTCTACCATGAGCATCCCCACCGCCAGGTATAAAATTCTCTCCGATGCAGGAGACCCGGGTTCGGTTCCCGGCCAGTGCACCTCATGCAGCGAAAGGTCCCCTTGTGTCCGGCTCGCCAGGGCAAACTGGGGCCACGTGTCCAAGTCTGTAGCTTTTATAGCCGTTCATATGATGCTGAACGCGCCCCACCGGAGTCTGACGTTGAAATGGGAAGTTCTCTGAGGGCAGCTTCTGCTTGCTCCCGGCGAGCAGAATAGGCTGGGATCCCCGTGTGCGCAAGCGCCTGACTTACATTGTTGCCTGAACCCTGTGAGGAGGCTCACATCATGGCACAGGAGGGAGGAGCCCTGGTGGTGCCGCGGCTAAGCACTCGGCTGCTAACCGAGAGGTCTGCAGTTCAAACCCACCAACCGCTTCTCGGGAGAGCGATGTGGCCAACTGCTTCCGTTAAGATTTACCATCTCGGCAACCCCGTGGGCTCACCGTGAGTCAGAATCGATCCGTCGGCAGTGGGTTTGCAAAGGAGAAGCCCGAGCCGGCCTGAGGGGGCTTCGTACTAGGTCCTGGTTGAGGCTCAAACCTGGGCAGTCGGGGGGCTGTCCACACGGGGGGCAGGGCTGACCTCTCCAGCAAGACAGGGACTAGATCTTAAGTTTTGTGGACCATACTACCCCTGGCCAGCTGACTTGTCTCTGCTGGTGCTCCCTAGTCTGCCTTGTTCTGCCTGGAGCTGGCTGTCGCTGTTCTCCCAGGACCCTTTCCTTTAATTCCCCCTTGTCCCCAGATCCCTCACCCCAGAAAGCTGGTCCCTCATGTCTGTGTCTTGTTGGGGTGTGAATCATCCTGGCCCTGGGCACCGAGGACAGTCATCCACAGAGTGAATGTCAAACTCATGTCTTCTGGTTTCCTCTTTCTTTCCGGTCATTTCCACAAGCCAGTGGAATCCTGAAAGGGTTCGACCCTCTCCTCAACCTTGTGCTGGATGGCACCATCGAATATCTGAGAGGTGAGCACGGGCCTCATCCTTTTCCTCATAACCTTGCTCGGTTGTTAGTTTGTATGTGTGGTGGGGTGTTCTCTTGGCCACACACACAGTTTGGTTTGACTGTGATCTCTACAGAAGGCCTGGTTCTTCTGTGGTGCCTCTGGGTGGGTTCAAACACCAACTTTTCAGTTCCCAACCATGTGCAAACTGGCTGCATCACCCAGGGCCCTTGTCCTTTCCATTTAAACCCCAAGACCCTGGGTCTTCATTTGGGGTGAAGCCAAATGAAATTGGGCAGCTACAGATGTGTCCCATCCCCCGTTAGGCCTGGCGCTCCGGTAAAACCCGGGAGCTCACTGACTTGGCACCTGAAAGGGAACACTTTGCTGTGTTCTAAAATGTGTCCAGAGGAGTTAGGACGGCAGTGAGAGAAGGACGCATTCGGGACAACGGAACCATCCCTGTCTGTCCAGTTCCTGCTGCCACACACAGTCCCGTCCCCAGCAGCCATCCCTTTCCTAGAGGACCCTCTGCTGCCACTGATGTAGCCCCTGGTCTCCACTTCCCCTCCTTCTGTCCCCTCTGTCCTCTCCTTTCCTCTCTCTGCTCCTCTTCCCCTTCTCCCCTTCTGCATCCTTCTCTCCCACCTCCTTCTTCCCCAGCCACCCTCAGGGGGCAGGCTGCCCCGGCCAGTCAGTACTCGGGGGACCCAGAGACAGCGCTAGGAGAGCTGGACCAGCAGGCCCTGGCTTGAGGGAGGATCTTGCCCCTCAGGAGACCACAGTGAGGCCCAGACAAGACAGACTGTCTTTGTTGAGGAAAATTCAACTTGAAGTGCCTACAAAGGCGCCACGTGAGGGGCTGGATCACCTACCCCTGTGCAACCCCTCGCTTCCTGTCTTCCTTCCACCCTCGATCTGGTCTCCCCGACCAGGCGCCTTTTCTTATCCCTAAAGGGCAGCCATGTGCAGTCGCCGGGAAGGCTGCCGGGGGGCGTTGGGGTGCGTGTGCACAGGGCCCAGCCACGTACAGCGGCTGACAGAGTGGACACTCATCCTCCCGGCCATGCAGGGGGCAAATCTGGAGCCTAGTGACTGTCCCCACACCTCTGACAATGGCCAAACCAGAGCTTGGCCTGGGCCTCCTGGGGCAACTGGAACAGAAACCCCACGAGGGGCCACTGGACTGAGGAGGCCGGAAGGCTGGCTCTGGGGAAAGGCTTGAACTCTTGCTCTGTCTGTGGGCTCCAGGGGAGATCCCTGGCTCGTTCAGCCTCTGTAGAGGCTTGATTGCTTGACGTCCATCTTCACTTCTTTGGGGACCTAATCTCTGATTGTCACAAGTGGTTGGTCCGAGCCACACCTACATCGAGAAGACCTCAGTGACATAACCAAGGGAGCCCCGGCCTTGCAACAGTTAAGGGACTGCCAGCTGCTCAAACACGGGCAGTTCAGAACCCCCAGACATCTTTGTGGGTGGCCGTCTGCTCACATAAGTGCGTTGTCTAAGGGACTCCACAGACGGTCGCTGTGAGTTGGAATCAACCCCGCAGTGAGGAACAAGCTGTGGGTTACGTAAACAACGCCTGGCAGTTTGATCCCACCTGCTGCTCTGCTCCTGTTATACCCCAGAGAGCAGCTCTCTGTCACATGGGGTCACTCGGAGTGGGAATCAACTCCACAACACACAACAACAACATAAGAGCAAAACTTCTCATAAGAGCACATGCACAGGACCTATTTTTGAGGCCCGGCTCAGTCCGTAACAGGCCCCTCCCAGCACCGTGCGTGGACTGTGGACCATAGAGTGGACTTTTCATTCCCTGAACCTCATAGCAGCTCTTCTGGAACCTCCGCCACCTCTGGCAACCAGGAGAAATTAGGAGTCCTAGTTTTGTTTATTTTGGGTGCCTGTCGTGGGACTGCACCCCAGAGCCCTCTGTCAGCTCAGTGCCCCCAATTAGCTCTGACCTGGTACGGCTGTCCCCTCTGGGCTCCGTGTCCTCATTCCAGAACAGAGGCGGTTAGCAGGCTGTTTCTAGAACACTCATTCCAGTGCGAACAGTCCACAGGAGTCCCGAGAGGAGAGGCCCTCGGCTGGCCACCTGACCTACAAGGGTGTTCACTTCTGGGCACATCCCCTCTGAGCTGGGGTTGTGTGACCCAGTGTTCCCAGAGCTTGGCCACCGGACAGCTCGCCTTAGTGTCCGGGAACTGCCATGACTCAGACAGTTAGTGAGTTCTTGTCTCCTCCTCCTTGGAAATCCTATCACAGGGTCTTTGTGGGTCAGAATCAACTCAACAGCACTTAACAAAAACAGCAAATGGTTTTAAATTAGGGAAGATGTGCCCGAAAGTTGTGTTATTTCGCCATACTTATTCAACCAGTATGTAGAACAAATAATCCAAGAGGCTGGATTCTATGAAGAAAAATGCAGCATCAGGATTGAAGGAAGACTCATTAACAATCTGCGATAAGCAGATGATTACAACCTTGCTTGCTGAAAGCAAAGAGGACTTAAAATACTGATGAAGATCAAAGACCACAGCCTTTGATATAGGTTGTATCTCAATGTAAAGAAAACAAAAGTCCACCACTGGACCAATAAACAGCATCCATATAAATGGAGAAAGTACTGAAATTATAAAAGACTTCATTTTGCTCAGATCAACCGTCAACACTCATGAAAGCAGCAGTCAGGAAATCAAACGGCGTATTGCATTAGGCACATCTGCTGCACAAGACCTCTAAGGTGTCAGCTTGAGGACGAAGGCGCACCTGACCCAAGCCGTGGTGTTCTCAGTAACTTCATATACATGTGAAAGCTGGACAGTGAATAAGGAAGACCGTAGAAGAATTGATGCCTTTAAGTTATGGTGTTGGAGGAGAATATTGAAAGTGCCATGGGCTCCCAAAAGAACCAATAGATCTGTGTTGGAAGAAGTGCAGCCAGAGTGCTCTTTCCTTGGAGGTCAGGATGGCCAAAGTTTGTCTCTGATACTTCGGACATATTGTCAGGAGGGACCAGTCGCTGGAGAAGGATATCATGTTTGGTAAGGAGGAGGGTCAGAGAAGACCCCCAATTCGATAGGTTAGCACAGTGGCAGCATCAGTGGGCTCAAACGTGCAATGACTGTGAGGTTGGCCCAGGACCGGGCAGTACTTCGTTCTGTTTTGTGCAGGGTCGGTACAGACTCGATGACACCTAACAACAACAACAAGGCTGTCATCTTGTGAGACCAAATCATGAGGTCTTTTTCCTGGGGAGCCATGGGTGGATTTGAACCACCAACCTTTTGATGAACAACCTCAAATGTAACCACTGTGCCACCAGAGCACTCTGAGGGCTCTTCAGCTTCTGCTCTCTCTGTACCTCTGGTGGGCTTAGGACGAGGCCCCAGCCTCCTCCCCTGAGGCTTCCCGGACAGCAGAATAAGAGCCTGTTCCTAAACAGGGTCCCGTCCACAGGTGAAGGGTTGGGGGACATGATCTAGCCTCTAAAGCACCCTTCTTGTCCCCACAGACCCCGACGACCAGTACAAGCTCACGGAGGACACGAGGCAGCTGGGCCTAGTGGTGTGCCGGGGCACGTCGGTGGTCCTCATCTGCCCGCAGGACGGCATGGAGGCCATCCCCAACCCCTTCATCCAGCAGCAGGACGTGTAGCGGGCCGAGCCCCAGGCAACACAGCCCACCCGACAGAACGTTTCTTTTTGTATAGCTTCAGTTTTTGTTTTCTTAATAAAACTGCAAACCTCATGTCACGGGGGGCCTGGGTCCCGGGACTGCATTTGGTTTGTTGGGTCAGTGAGTGCAGGCAGGGTCCAGTGGGGGACCGACAGTGCTGTGGGCAGCTGCAGACCCCTGTATTCCAGGCTGGCCTCTGTCCCAGAAGCCCCCGCAAGACCAGGGACTGGGACAGAAGGCTGGCTCAGCTCTGCCCCTCAGTACCCCTCCTCATGCAAGCTCTCTTGAGGACCTTCTAAAACCAAGGCCCCCTGCTACTCTCCCCAAAGCCCCCTGTTCCTGCCCTCAGCCAGTGAGCATGAGTCTATCACGTGGTCACCCCACGCACCGCAGGATGACAGGCTGGCCCACCCATCTGCACCCCTTCCTGATCCTGGCAGCTGTGTCTTCGGAGCCTTTCAGCCCCGGGGGCTCATTGTCCTGCACTCCACCACACTGTTCTGTTGTGACCTGGGGGCCATAGTGCTTTCATTGGCTGACCGTCAGAAGTCAATCACCAGGCCTTTCTTCCTGGTCTTAGTCTGAAAGCTTCACTGAAATCCATCCACCATGAGGGGAAATACTGATAGTATAGCTCCCCAGCCTCACAGCAACACACACCACAGCAGAATAGCAAAATTCTGTGGGTGGTATCCTAAATGCCTCGTCTTAAAAAAAACTGGCTTTTTCTGGCCCCAACACCCAATTTTCCTGAGTTTCAAGTGCATGGTAGAAGTCTCTGCCACCCCTACCCCCACCGGGGGCAGGCACCCTATTTGAAACTACCAGCTGCTCTGTCGGAGAAAGAAAGTTTTCTGCTTCTGTAAAGATTTGCAGCCTCGGAAACCCTATACAGGGTCACGGAAACCGACTCCACAGCACATAACAACAACACCCAGGAAGGCTGAGTAATGCAGGACACAAGAATTCTGGGACCAAGCCAGGGGCTAATGAGCTAACCAGGAAGGGGGCAAGGGGGAACCACAGAATCCAGGAAGAAGTCTTGCAGAGTTTGGCCAGTGAAGACCCACTGGATCCCGGTGGTCTGGTTTGTAGCCTGTCACAGAAGTGGCACAGGTCTGGGTGGGGTTTGTTCCATGGGGCATGGGGTCGTTCTGTCATTAACTGCCTTAGAGTCGGTTCTGACTCACGGCAACACTGTATAGTGTTTCCGAGCAGCGGCTGGTGGGTTTGAACCTCTGCCCTGTGGTTTGCAGTCCAGCACTAGTCCTGAGTCAGGACCAACTCCCCAGCAGCTACACCAAAAGCAGGGCAGGTAGGGGTCAGGGGCGCACACTCACTGTATGTTGTCCAGGGCGTCCTGCATGGTCCACCTGAACTGCCCTCACATTCCCTTCTCAATGTGTGCTCTTCCCCACACACACCTGTAGCCACTGCCCAGCCCTGGAGAAGGAACTGGGCCTCAGAGAGGTTAGAACACTTGGCCTGAATCACACAGCAAGGCTGGGAGGGGCTCTTCGTGTGGGCTGTGGCTGCAGATGCTCAGCAGATGTCAGCCTGTGGGGGAGGGAGGCCTGGAGCGAGGGGGGCAAATGTGAACACGCTCAGCTGGTCACTAAAAGATTGGTGGTTTGAGTTCACCTCTTGGTGCCTTGGGAGAAAGAAACCCTCTGGATCTATATCCAACCACAGGGAGGGTGTGGGACACTGGGGATGGGACAGGAGGCAGAGAACATGCAAGGCACCATCAGCAGAACTCTGGGGTCCTAGGCCTCACACCCGAAATCTGACACCACTCCTGGGCTTATGGGGATCTGGGCCTGTAGACCAGAAGGCAGGGAGCTGGCTTTACTAGGGCCGGTGGCATTATCCCTGTGGAATAAGGGGGATTAGGTATCAGTCTCCACAGCCTGCTCTACCTCCCTGCTCAACTTCCTCCCATCTGGCCTGCCCTGCCCCCAAACTGAGCCACCAGCAGCCAGGAGAGGAAGAGATCCTCACTGGGGCCAGCGAGGAAACCACAAAGTGCAGCACGTCCCCCAGGACAAATTGAGGGACCTGGACACAGAGCAGGAGGGACTGAAAACCCAGCCCCCCAGCCCCCAAATCCATGCTGTGTTCAAATGGCACACCCTACCTGCCTCATGTGAGGCCTTGACCCCCAGTGAGAGCAAGCATTAGGGCCTCATGACTGATTAGATCTTGTGAGACCGCCCAGAGAACTCGAACTCAGGGGCCACGCGGGAAGGAGTCTGGCTTGCTGGGCCGCCTTGCTCCTTGAAGGGAAGCTTGTCCCCAGGACCTCCATCCCCACCATTAAAAGATTTGCCACTAGCCATGAGTCTTCTGGTCCAGTTGATGCCCTCAAGTGTGTCAGAGTAGAACTGTGCCTCACAAGCTTTTAATTGACTGATGTTTTTTATTTTTTATTTTTTTTGTAAAGTAGATCACCAGGCATTTCTTCCAAGGTACCTCTGGGTGAACGCACCGCCCACTTTTCAGTAAGCAGTCGAGCAAGTTCTCACTGCTCTCTGTCCTCGCTCTCTTTCCACCCTCTGTGATGGGCTGCAATTCCTATACGCTATAGCGTTTACATGGGCTGGTTTTCAGAAATACGTTGCCAGACCTTTCTACCTCGCCTCCACTGACACACAGCTCGTGGCTCCCCTGAGCTACACTGAATGGGAATCGAACCGTGTCCATCATGAAGATGAGGCTTCTCCCTCTGACCATTGCTGCCCCCTTGAACACACAGACACAATATAACACCACGTACTTAGAACCTTCATTTTGGAAGCACTGGTTTTCTGTGCATGTGTAGAGAAAGGCGTGGAAGCTTCCGTGCCTCTCTCTCTCTCCAACTGTCCTGTGAAGCCTTTAGCAATCAATCAGAGCCAACTGGAGGGCAGTGGATTGAATCTGGTTTCTGAGTTATGATATTTTACAAGAAATGGGTCTGAGACAGACAGAAGTGTGGAAATGGTAGGAGACTCAGAGATAGAGGAGACGGGTCGAGGCGGAGACTGAGAAATGAGGCCACCACAGGCCTGAGACACTGGATCCTCCAGATCCCCAGCCTCCTCCTCAGCAACCGCCACCCCCTCCCCCCAGCCCCAGGATAACGTGTCAACCCAGCCAGGTCTTCTGCCAGACACCATGCCCTCGAGAGGCAGCCCACTGACCCCAGCTTGCATCCCACCCTTCCAGCTTCCTGGCCACAGGCAGCCCAGGCCTCAGAACCAGGTGAGGGGCCTGCGTCCCTCCGGTCAGGCCCTGCCCCACGTACCCGTTGTCACCACGGCCCTTGGCTTCCAGGTGCTGGCCGAGAGGCCCCGGGTGTTGAGTGGGGAAGATGAGCTCTGGGCGGCCCAGTCAGAGGCCCCGGCAGATGGCAAGGAGAGAGAAGAGGGCTCCGGCTCGACCCCGGGCCTGCTGGGGACCCCCAGGACCCCGCTTCGGAGTAGGTTCCGGAGTCTTCTGAAGGTGGACAAGCTCTGGACTCTGCTGACGGTCAGCCTTACCCCACCCCTACCCAGACACACTATCCCCAGAATAGAGCCGGGAACGGATACCTTCTAGTTCACATCAACCCTTTGCCTTAGAGTCAGCCCCTACCCAGGGCACCCCCTTAAGAACTGTGCTCGGTAGGTTCATTTTTCCAACGGCTGATTTTTTTGGAACTAGATTGTCTGGGCTTTGCTCCGAGACACCTCTGGGTGTCTTGAAACCACAACCTCTCAGTAAGCAGCTCTGAGCCTTCACTGGTGGTGACATCCAGGGCCTTCAGTTCACCCAACTGCCCCCAAGTCCTCCGGCATACATTCTTTGTTTATCCCTACTCACAGATGAGGAGGGACCTCTGGGTTGCACAAACAGTTTCCCCAGAAGCACCTCAGAAGAAAGGCCGGGCAATCTGCTGAAAGGTCACAGTTGAGAATCCATGGAGTGCGGTGCCTTTCTGACATAGGAAGTCTCTGTGAGTGAGGTCAGTCCATCGACTTGATGGCAACTCACAACAACACAGACAACACTGAGACCCAGAGAGTCTGACAACTTGCCCAACACCACACAGCCTGGATTCCAACCCAGGTAGTGCCATCTGCCCACTATGTTGTTGTTAGGTGTCACTGAGTCAGTTCTGACTCATAAAGACCCTGTATAGGGTTTCCGAGGAGCGGCTGGTGAGCTTGAACCACCGACCTTGCAGTCCAGTGCATTAACCCACAGTGCCACACCAGAACTCCCTGCCCACTATATCCTCGCTATATTCCAAAGTCACCCAAAGTGTCTAACTGCTCCATCTCATAGCTGCAGAAACAGGCCCATGGTTAAATGGGAGATAGGTGAGGGGTCAGCCAGGAAAAGGGGGCTGGGAGCCACCTGCCCACACTTGGAGACCAAGACACCCTCCTTCACACCACAGGTCCATTCCCGCCCAGAAGAGTCTCACGGAGACCTGGCTGTGGCCCCTAAGCACCGGCAAAAGGACCCAGACAATGTGGTATAAGGTTGGGCCTTCTGTGCAGAGACCTGAGCCCCGGCCTCAGTTTTCTGTTCAGTGAAATGGGCAGAGGGAGTCTAGTTTTGTCAAGACTCAGACAAGGAAACGCTTATAGAAAGAAAAAGATTTTGTAAGCAGGGAAAACTTTAGAATGAGGAAAGTTCTAACAAGGCAGAGCGGTTAATATAATTATTAACCAAATTTATGCAACAACTACTAAACCCAGTGATGATGAAATGGAAGAATTCTACCAACTTCTCGTAACATCAGGATTGGAGGAAGACTCATCAACAACCTGCAATATGCCGTTGATACAACCTTGCGTGCTGAAAGTGAAGAGGACTTAAAATCTTAGTGATGAAAATCAAAGATAGGTATGGATTGCATCTCAATGTAAAAAAAACAAATATCCTCACCACTGGACCAATACACAACATTCTTATCAACAGAGAAAAGATTGAAGTTGTCAAGGACTTCATTCTTCT